CATCTGAGAGTGGTGCTGAGTACATGATCCCTGAATGTGATCCCACAGCAGAGATAAAGCATGGAAGGTACTTTTGATGAGACGGTGTGTTCTGCAGCTGATACAAAGCTATTTCTGTGTTGGGATGTAAGAGCAGGCTTGATGACATCAGCTCCATCACTACACTCTGCTTGGTCACCTCACTGGCTGCAGATTTGGCGCAGAGGACCTAGCTAATCAGAAAGGCCTCAACTTGAAGCTGATGGTGACATTCTTCTCTGCTTACACCTCTTTCATCCCAACTTCCTTGGGCCCACACTAGGACACAAAGCAGACTCAAAGTATCACCCTTCACAGAGCTCTGAGGTGGCCTCTTAGGTCCAGACCCATCTCACCCAAATTTCATCACTTGTCTGAGCACCTATCTCTGTCCTTCAAGCAGATCCCTTTTTTATGCACTTGTACTTAAACAGATTAGGATCTAGGTTTATAGCCCATATGATGGACAAGCAGTGAGCATGATCTGAGAGTGGGTTTTGACACAGCTCCACTAACCCGCTTGACACATGCTCACAGTTTCCTCTGCCTGAGAGCAGGGCAGCTGCAAAACACATAAAACCTGCATGCAGGTTCTCAGTAATTCCTGCCTGGCTTGTCCAGGGTCCACAGGTCAGTAAAGCAGGCAAGTCGGACAAGTGGTGTCTTGGACAGTTGTGTATTTTCTGACCCTCAGTAGAGTAAGGACCACAGAAAATATACCTATGTCCATCACACAGAGGTGGTGTGGCCACTCCAGGCACTAAGAAATACCTGAAAGAGTCTCTGAAGCTGTAACCAAGAACAAGACATTACAGAGGCAGGCACCTACAGGCACCCAGGGCTGTCGAGAGCACAGCTCGGATATGAAGATAGGAGCTTGTCCCTCCCTCCATACGTGATGGCAGCAGCTCTCCACCGAACTGTGGACTTTTGGTATCATCTACCTCTCCCCCGAGAAACTGGTAGAAGTCCTCTCTTTATCTCAGCTTGCACCAGTTCTTGAGATCTGAAACACGGCCACTCCCGCCGCCCTCCCAAGGGCGGCCAGAGAAGGAAGGGGACATCTTGCCTCACCCCTTCCATCTCCTCACTCCCTACCTCGCATGGCAATATTATGCATCCTGTTCTCATCATCACAGTTCATATTAATGAATGAAACAATCTCCTAGAACAATGGGCCTCCATGATATCTTGACCACCTGGTGTTTTTTATTAGCTTCACAGCCAGTACCTTTTTTCCGCTCCATAAAAGAATTAGTCAATCCACAAGCACACGTCTGGCTTTTCACACTGCCACGGAAAGAGGGGGGGAAGGCAGCTATTCACCAGCGAGTGTTTACGACCTGCTTTGCCCCAGAAGCCGTCACAAATGCTGCCAGATGAACCCAATCCTACGCATCCCTTTCACCTTCAAAGCCTACCTCCGCGTTTCAGTGCAAGGGCAGCAGACGAGGCTTCTGCAAGACACACATCGCACACAGGGATAAGCTATATGCGCTGCTCCATACCATCAATGCAAAAGTCGTTCTAAACCCTTCAAGTGTAACCGTGAGCGCAAAAGCCCAGTCAAAGTGCAAAGATCAGCAGTATTTTTCAAGCCTGTTTTGAAGGTGCTTTTGAGTCTTCCCATCACTACTCAGATGCTGCTGCCTATCCCCATGACCACAATATATTAGCTCCAGTAGCTTTTCAGCGACTCAGCTTTGCCACAGCTTCCTGCTTTTGAGCGTACCCTCTGCATTCGGCTGGAGCTTTGCCAGCCCCAGCTTTCGCTCGGCTTGGTTCAATCTGGTACAAGCTGGGGGGGGGCAGAGGCGGGGCTTTCTGTACTGGAAAAAAAAAAAAAAAGTCAAAGTACTGCACCTGAAGACTATAGAAGAACTACTGTTTCTGATGAAACCTCCCTGCTCCTGTTTTAGAGGCAATTCACAGACCTCCATGTATGGGTAGCTCTAGAAAATGTGGTCCTAATTATGGACAGTTTGTTTCATGAACTGCTGCTTTCCCCTTTCCCTCAATACATTGGCAAAATCCTTGCTCATTTACACCAAAGACAAACTTAGTTTGAAAAGAGATGGGTAGTCTCTGGAGGAATACCCACAATTATTTTTATAATGCATTTAACTAATTGGCAGTGCTAATCTGCCAAACATCCCAAGTGAAGGTGAGCCCTTGAGCTAGGTCTACAGTTAGGGCTTGCCTTTGCTGCTGAAAAACCTGGGTTTGGGGTTTTTTTCTTAACCTCAGAATGACTGAGGCACATGAGGTATCCTGAGGTAAAACTATAATAAAAAGAAAGCATTTTATTTTGACTGGGGTGAATCTGCTGAGGTCAGTCCTTCATCCCCAAACCCCACCTCACCTTGAATTTGCCTTGGGACAAAACTGAAGGACCTCTCTTCCCCGTGTTTTTGCCCTGATTAGTGAGCTGAAGCGGCTTAGCTGTGCTTGAACATGTTTTACTTCATGCAAGTTTAAAATCCTGAGGACACAAAGAAGTGCTTTACCTTAGGCAGAGAACCAACAGTTACGCAGTGCCTGACCTACAGCTTTATAACTACACTAAAATAACTAATACAGAAATGTGCCTAAAAACCCCAGGACTAAACATGTCTTCACCACGTCTCCTTCAAAGGCAGCATGGGCACAGTAGCAGGAGAGAGAAACGTGTTTTTTCCAGCACTGGCCTGTTTTATGACTCTGGGCAACAGTTTGCTCATTATTTTTGCCCCTTGTAGTCTTCGTCCCTACAGCTGAAAGCTCTCTAGGGCTAGGACAATGTCTCATCACAGGTAGGACCTTGAGCAAGGCTTCTCATGCCATTGCAGTGGAGCAAATTACACAACAAGACGGTTGGGTAACTGAAGTACGGTGCAAATCAGTGCCCTCATGTGTCACACCCACCGCGGTGGTTTGACATGCGTTAGGGACTTAACTTGTTTGCCCCCGTTGACCTGCAGGTGAGTGCAAAGTCAAGCTTTTCAAGTTGAGTTTTGGTCTAGGTACATGAGCAAAGTAGGAGTGAGGAACATGTTCCATCTTCTTTATTTTGCAAATGTCTTCCTGGTTTCCTCTGTAACAGAGGGTGGTTTGACTGCTGGGTTTTATGCAGGACCTATGCTTTTAAAGTAAGTTCTAGCTGTGTTTTGTTTTTTTCCTAGAGGGGCCTTTTCTCAAATTTTGTCACCAGGAAGAAACACAATAAGAACAAAATTAGAAGTGGCCAAGGTTAAACAAGAATTTTTCAAAGAAACGGTGCTCTTTCAGTTACTGCTTCAGAAGAAAGCATCTCAGCAGCCTTTGTCACTCCCTTACGAGCTCTGCCCATCAACATCTATCACAGTAGTTTATTGACAGAGAAGAAAATGTACTAATTCAAGTGAATACCAAAGAATTTTCACAAAAGAAAATACAATAATTTCTTAGTAATGAATGTCTTAGAAGTAACGCTTGCACCAGGAGGCCAAGTCCAAATTTGTTCTCCAACAACAGTAATACTGCTCTCAGAATTTCATTTAGGTATTGTAGTCCTCAAAGAATTGTAGTTATATTAGTATATTAAGTGCATTATGTCAGAACAGCTTATATTTCTGCATCCATAACCTCTGCCCATACCAGCATGTACCGTTAGTTTGCTGTGTCTTTGTCCACATAAGACAGCTACTGCTTTTAAACATGCCTGTTCCCAAAAATACAAGTGCAGTGATATCAAAAGCCTTCAGGACTGATCATCCCCAAGATACATGCTCTGTTCCAGTCAAGGAACAGGCAAAGTAACATGTGACCTGTTTGTTCAATCAAAACAATTTTAATATTGACTGAATGAAAGACAGAAATGTTACAACGAAACAGAAATCCAAAATAATTGCTTTGCCAGCAATTCCAGATGAGATAGAAGTAGGCAAAACTCACTGCCTAATATTATTCTAGGACTGTGTAAACAACTAATTTATTGGTTCACTTAAACTTTTGAAGTGCAGAGTTTGATAAAAATTCAATTCAGACCAACTCAGAATGAAAATATTCTGAATTTTAGGTAAGTCAACAAAGTTCAAAGATTAATTAAAAAAATATTTATTTTATTCAAAATGAATCTAGGTGTACATTTTTTCTCAAACTTTTAGATGTTTTTTTTTAAAAATACACTGACACAAATTATGGACCAAAACTACCTTTTAAATAAAAATATCAGTATACTCCATTTTAAAACATGAAAATAGAGGTTTGCAGCTGTTTAAGACATTTTCTTCTGAGAAAGTTATGTGCTGTAACAAATATCAACTCACAAAATATTTTTGTCCAATTATGTTCTTTATGTTTTATAAAATAAAAAAATATTTGAGAGCAAAAAAAAAATTGCTTAGCTTTAAGTTAGTTGTTCTACCGTCACTAGGCCAAACTCTGGACCTTAGATGGGATCTCAATGTTCTGCTCCCAGCCCTATCATTTTCCAAGTGCCAAACCTGCCTCCACCTCCCAAACACAAAGAAAATTGATGTCTCTTAACTCCCCATGGAGCAATCCACAATTTGCACACAAGTGGTGTGATCTAGAGGATTGCACGGTGTCATAAAGAGAGGAGCTGAGTAAGAGGCAACGGCCTACACCAGCGTAGGAGTCAGAAGAGTGGCCAGCACTGAGGACTGACCACCAGCCTTCGCGGAGGAAGGAGGTGGGTGGTGAGATGCCTCCTCACTTACTGAATGTCTCAGCTTTGAGCAGGAAAATGCTTGAATCGCTACCCTCAGAAAAGCAGTGAGTGAATGCTGAAAAAATAGATACACTATGCAGCAACAGGATCACATCAGTAAGGAAATACCTAGTCGATCTCGTTTTAGAAGAATCAGTCGAAGAAAAACACAAGAGCAAAACTGCAGTCATTCTATTATTGGCATAAGAAATCACCAGTGGGTTTGAACCATAACCTCAGATCACAAGTCTGATACGAGGACCCTGGATCTCTGGTTTTCTCTTTCTAACAGGTACAACCAGAAAAGAATGGAAATGTCCACATGCCCCAAAGTGCCCGGATCGTGAATGCTTCACCTTGGGATTGGGAACACAGTTTGGGAGACAGAGTCTGGCCGTTGTGCTGAGAACAACTGATATCTCTATCTTCTGACCCGAGCTCTGCAGGGGAAGAAGTGCTTTTCCAGGCACCGAGGCAGCGTCAGCTTGTTCCACTCCTCTCCCACAGCGGTTGACTTCTTCACCTGCTTAAGAGGGTCGCAAAGGAAACAGCTAACTCATCACTTTTTGTCGTCAGTTAAAACTACAAAGAGACCCTAAAAGGTTTTATCCGCTCTTGTCAAACTTCAGTTGGGAGCAGCAGATACAAGCTGCAGTTCGTTTTCTCTATTTCACCACGAGAGTGCTATAAATAGAAGCCTGTGTGTGGCTTTCTGGCTCTCTGAATATATGCCTCACACCTTCTCCATTTTTTTTTAACACCCACATAAACATTTGCATGTCACCAGACCCACAGAGACACACATTTTCCACAACATGCCTATCAAGAAGAAGAAAAAACAAAAAAATTAAAGAGTTCTTAGTATGTGTAAGCCTGTGCATTTAGGGGGCGCCTGCATGTGTGTGTTTGCATGCAGCAAGGTTTGTGCTCGTGTAAATACACTCTCAGCAGTCCTTATTTTTTGACCTTTGGGTTGCTTACAAATTCACTTTGCTATCCTGAATTTCATATCTCGCATGATACATGCTGCGATGTTTTTCTGTCACTAGGCTGTGACTTGGCATCATTAATAATGTTGTCATGTGTGGCAAAGAGGTTCATATACTCTTTCTGTTTCACAATTTTTAAAGTCCCCAAACTGTATTAGGAGGGAGACTGGCCTGATGCTGAGCTGCTTTGCTGGCTGAGCTGGAAATCCACCCTAGGAGATGGAGAGGCTTAGCAGAAGCTGTGACCATCTCCTCTGGACCAGCACTGGGGAAGCTGAGACAGAAAAATCTGGAGCTGCAGAGGCTGCGGCAGACTGGACCTCTGTAAGCTGTGCTCTGGAGAAGATGTGGGTGCCTCCTGCAAAGTGCTGAGTGCTGAAAACACTGAGAGCCTTCCAGCGTTTGAAGGACCGGTTCCCTGCCTCACGTCAGGGCTGCTTCCTGTTAGAAGTTTCAAAGAGGTAAAACACAGCGCAGCTGCTCTCCTTTCCGTTTACTGTACCGAGGCGTCACTCTGATTGCTCTGCCCTACATCAGCCTGCAGAACATGCCCTTCTTGGTATTACTTCAGGCTTCAAATTATTTTTTTTCTCTTTTTTTTTTTTTTAATTTCTGCTTTTCATTTTATATAGCCAGTGTATCACGTAGAGCTGGCACAGGGCAAGAATCAGTCATCGAGAAACTTTTTAAGTCACCCTGGAATTTTATTTTTGTGACAAAAGGTACATTTTTCCCTAAGTCATCTGCCAGACTGGATTGTGGAAAAAAAAAAAGTAAGATACTCAAGCTGCCTGGAGACCTGCATACAGATACAGGGAGAAGTAAAAAAAAACAAGAGAGAGAAAAATTGTGAGGTTTTTCTCATCCCCTCCCTTTCTTATTTTTGCACAGGTGTTCAAATTGCAAAGATCCAAACAAACATTAGATTTTGGGTTGAAAATGTGAGGTTATAAAAAGAAGGAGGAAGGATTCTATTTTCATTTTTTACTGAAGATTGAAAACTTAGTGACATAAATACCTTATAAATGCTTATAAATATCTCAAGGGTGGATGTCAGGAGGATGGGGCCAGACTCTTTCCAGTGGTGCCCAGAGACCGCACAAGTGGCAACGGGCACAAACTGAAGAACAGGAAGTTCCATCTGAACATGAGGAAGAACTTCTTCACTCTGAGGGTGACGGAGCACTGGAACAGGCTGCCCAGGGAGGTTGTGGAGTCTCCTTGGTTTGGGGGGTCTCCTGCTCTGGAGATATTCAAGCCCCGCCTGGACAAGGTCCTGTGCAGCCTGCTGTAGGTGACCCTGCTTCGGCAGGGGGGTTGGACTAGATGACCCACAGAGGCCCCTTCCAACCCCTACCATTCTGTGATTCTGTGATTCTGTGATTCTGTGATTCTGTGATTCTGTGATTCTGTGATTCTGTGAAAGCGACTTCCAAAAACCATTTTTCATGGTGAACACAGAAACTTTTCATGTAGTTTCTATCAAGGCTTCTGCTGCTGCCGCTAACGTCATCCCATCTCTTGCAGAACCTCCCTCCAGCTGCTACAGATTCTTCTGCCATTGCGCCTTCGAGCGCCCTGCTAGGGATTTCGCTATGACTGAGAACACTTCAGCTAACTTCATTAACCACGTATCGTGAAAAACTTTCTGCCACGCAAGGCTCAGCCCAGTCTCAAGTTTGGCAGGTCACTTGGTTGGTGCGCAAATGATGTTCATAATTTTTTTTATTCTGAAAAGGTAATTGCAACAATATTTTTTTTTTTTTTACTGGTAATGTCTTTACGATAACCCAGCTAAGTCAAGTACTTTTTTTTCTTTTAAAGAGACTTAACTCACTTTTAAAGGAAATTAACATGGTTACCCGGGACTACATTTTGCAAATTTTTTAATGATAGTCTTGTTCGTGAAAGTACACATTTCCTTTAAGAAGATCTATGCCTAAACCACAGTGCATGGACATGAGTCAATAAAGGAAGCAATTCTTGTAAGCTTGTACACATCTATACAGTTTCTTAAAAACAAACTGTGTCAGCAGTATTGCATGATGAGATGCTGTTATCTGAAAACATGAACTGCTATCTTAATACTGGAACATAATATTGGATCAGTGGGGAAAGTGGTAAACCAAGTCTGAATGGACTGTGTCTGTATTCAAACTTCAGAACATCTGTGAAAATCACAAGATCACAGAATGTTGCGGGTTGGAAGGGACCTCTGTGGGTCATCTAGTCCAACCCTCCTGCCGAAGCAGGGTCACCTACAGCAGGCTGCACAGGACCTTGTCCAGGTGGGTCTTGAATATCTCCAGAGAAGGAAACTCCACAACCTCCCTGGGCAGCCTGTTCCAGTGCTCTGTCACCGTCAGAGTGAAGAAATTCTTCCTCATGTTCAGACAGAACTTCCTGTTCTTCAGTTTGTGCCCATTGCCCCTTGTCCTGTCGCTGGGAACTACTGAAAAGAGCTTGGCCCCATCTTCCTGACACCCACCCTTCAGATATTTGTAAGTATAAGTGGCGGGCCGCGCGCAGCTGGCGTGGCGCCGCGGATGGCGGTGTTTGTCCCCGGTCCGCAAGTGGCTCAAGCCACTGTGGACTGTGGTGGTGTGGAGGGGCCAGGCAGAGTGGGACCAGGTGATGGTGGGGCTGTACTGCGGGGACGGTCACCTGCAGCAGGAAGCGCTGGACCAGGTCTCGGCCTGGAAGAGTTGATATGGTCCCAAAATGCCTCTTGCGGTGTATTGCACTGCTGAACTGGTTCGTTGCAAGGTCCTGGATTCATCTGGCAGATTGAAGTCATGTGAGCTCATCCTCTCTTACAGACTGGCTCTTGTAAGGTTTGTCAACTTGATCACGGAAAGGAAACAGAAAATGATCAGCATTCCTCTGAGACAATTAGCCAGAGAGGTCGATATCCCCATCTGGGTTGTGGATCTCCTTCACGAGCTGACCCACGGGAAGCTGCCGCGGCTGGCTCTGTGCCGCCAGGGCGCAGGGGTCATGATGTTGTGCTGGACTGGCTACGAAAGACGTACTGGAGCCGTCAACTGGGCAATAACTTGTGTGAAGAAAGTGAGGAAGAGGATGAGGAAGAGGAGCAGGAAGAGGTGGAAGCAAATGCAGAGTTGGACAATGATGCATGGGAGATTCAAACCCCACAGCATGAGGCCTGTCAGAAACACAAGGAATTCCATGAAAAAGTCAAAGATGTGCTGATATCCTACAAGAATGAGCAGTTTCGGGCTATGCAGGCTGTGCAGTCGGTTTCGAAGTCTCGAGATCCATCGTCCAGTTCCTATTCAGAAGTAGACTGGATTTTGGCTCAGATCAAAGACCTGATGCAAGAGAACAGGGAGACAGTAGCTGAAGCTCTTCTCAGTGATGGCTTTCTCATCCCAAAAATGGATTGTCTGAAGATGCTAAGTGACTTTCCCATGGCACTAAATTGATTGCAAGGGAAGGATACCGAATCACACCAGGCGAGGCTCTGGTCTATCATTCAGTTAAGGAACCGAATGTATGAAATGTCTTGCTTGTTGTTTTAACTAGACTGCAAATGTGTTTGCAAGATAAAATGAAAGGAAACTGTTGTCTGGTTTCTTTAAAATGTCCATATTTTTGACCTTCCCAGGTGCCTTGTGGGCGCTCAATAGCAATTGCTGCTATGTTGGGAAATAGCCCTGGGGTGAAAAATGAACTTAAATACAGAAATAGAAATAAATCCAAGTGAATACTCTCAGGCTTAGCAAACAGTACTCGTCTATTTCACCAACTTCCTACTGTGATAGTTGCCTCTGAATTCCTCCTGCCAGCTGGACAGAAGATGTAGGAAGGCTGCTATCTCCAGGACCTGCACATAAACTCCTTTCTTGGGGTGTCCTGTAGAGAAGATCCTTCATTGCTGACTGGTCCAACCACACAGTGTGAAAAAGGGTTCATCTGGAATTTTAGAACATTATTCTCAAGTGGGGTTGTCTTTTTTTAAATTCAGTCTCCTTATCATTCTCCTGAAGACAGTCAAGTCGTCGTGGCCTGGGAAGGGGAGGTGGCAGCTGGGACTACAACATAGGCACCCTGATCCTCAGCCTCTGATCTTAGTGTGAACAGCAGCAATGGTACTAAAAGGAAGATCCTGTCCATGAGGCACAGTGCAGCACCAAGCCAAAGCTTCAGTAGGGAATGCAAAATAAATATGAGAAGACATTATCAATCTGGGTGGTATTAGCTAGGAGCTTAACTGTGTGGATGAGCTTGAACTAACCCAGAAGAAATAAACCAAGGAAGGGCTTGTAGTGGCTAGAGGAACAAGTGAAGCAGCTCTTTAAAAAGGTGTTTTGGTGAGAACTAAAGTATCCAAAGATGCGATGGAAACCAGACAGGCTGACTGTCTAGAGGTCAAATGGGCAGATGATTTTGGGTAGCCTAGATTTCCTTCCTCTAACTTATGATACATAAACTTAAGGACAAAAATAAGATTATAGCTTCAGCTATTTAGGTTTTAGGCACCCAGTCTAAGATAATTGTCTACTTTTCCTCTATTGTCATGGCAAAGAGGCAAGGACATCTAGAAGGAAGTGAGGGACAACCATTTTAGGATAAACTAATATTCCTTTGAAATCACTCTCTCTCCACAGAATTGAGGAGTACCTTCATGTTGGACTATTTCCCTAACTTTTAGATAGCCTGAGTCTGGGGATACACAATGGGAAAGCTCCTTTGTTGTACATCCTGATAAAATCAGGATGTAAAACAAATCCTCATTTCCAATAACAGCAATAAAACTTTCTGGATGATGTAAATAGGGAATACTGTCATGAGGAAGAATTTTTACGTGTTCCAAATTTACTACCGCAGTTATGGACTGTGTGAGTGTGGTTTTGCATCTTCCTAATTTTTTACTATTTATCAGTTAATAAGCAAAGGAATGAGTGGAAGTAGCTAATAAAGCATGTTTATGAACCCACAATAACACAAGCTTGGACTTTTTGATCCCATATACTTTGAATTGCCAAAAAACTAAGTGCAGGGTACAGAAGTGTGGGACGTCACTTATCTGGACCCATCTGTGTTATGCATCTCACCTATGCTGGCCGTTCAGCCATCACCTGAGAGACAGGTGCCTTCAGAGGATGATTCATCTTAACTTTTTTAACAAGCCAGCTTTGTCAGAATTGCCCAGCCTGAGAAATGAGGTGCCTGACTTCTGCCTAAAACGTGTCAAAACCCAAAAATAGACAGAGCAAAGAGAGAATCCCCTGAAGACGCCAGTCCCCTAAACATACGAATCATGCTAGCAGTGTAGGACCCCTCAAAAAATCCAGTCCCATTGCTTTCTTTCTCAAAGTCAGCACAATCCATCCTTTAAAGAGAACTCTAAACTAAAAATAGTGAACCAAAGTCCTCTTTGGGGTCCATAAGCCTCTCCTCAGCCACTCAGCAGGTGTTAACAATGCTGAAGTTACTAGCCCATCCCAGGACAAGACCTCTGGGGGCTTGGCTATGGAGATGGTCCAAGGAACGCCAGCAGACTACTGTTGTCATATGTTTGGATGGGACGTGACGTGACGTGACGTGACGTGACGTGACGTGACGTGACGTGACGTGGGCAGTCATCCCATGCTCTTCTGGACCTTGCTGATTCTGAGCAAAAGTTGTATATGTGCAAGGTTTGTCTTCAACCCATTGAAATGCAGGGCACTGAGGAGTGTCAAGACAGCTACACATGGTGTTGTGGAATATGTATTTAAAGACTCTGGATGCTCCAGGCAGGTAGCTTTCCAGATTTGGAGTTGTCTGAGAAAGCACATTAAGAGAACCCAGAGGATGTGAGAAAGGCCTAGAGGCCCTGAATTTCCCTCCATAGCATGCAAGCAGGGCTATATCTCATGGTGTCCCCAGCATATTCCAAGCCCACACCAATGCAAAAGGCAGAATATTTGGCCTTGTGGGGCCCATGGGAACATCGTAAAAGCACAATGTGGATAAACCTTTCTAGGACAGCAGTCTCATTAATAAAGATCTTTAATACCAACAGTCCCCAAACTTCACTGGCCGAAGTCCACCGCATTCAGCAAGAATGTGCTGAGGGAAACATTAAATGCTGTTCTTCCTCTCAACCTGAACTGAAGCAGCAATGGCTTTCTGAGGCTTACGCTGTAGGTCCCATCAAGCCATGAGGCACAGGTTGGGTCTGCTGTTTTCCAGAGTTCTCCAAGTCAATATCTGAAATACAGGCAGATCAGATTGTCTTCTAATTTAATGTAAAACCACCTGCTTCGGTTACATTTTTCATGGCATAATGTTCAGAGAGATCATACTTCACCACTCGTCTGTTACACACTATCCAGTGTAAAAGAAGGAAAAAGGGGGAAGGTATACGTAAGTTTGCATAACTTCAAAATGGAGTTTAATGAGGGAGAGCATAACACTTAATTCGAAACCAAAGCATCCATTAGTACATTACCTTTCCACTGTATCAGTGCGATACATTTCATTCCCTTTTCCATCAGTGCAATACATTTCATTCCCTTTTCCAAATACCATTTCACATAAACCATTTATTTTTTCAACTTTTCCCACAAGATTTTTAATGCAGGATTTGGACACCTTTCAGAGGAATCGTGTGATGTAATGCATTTGAGAGACATAACAATATATGTGGAGTTTGGAAAATCTTTGGCAACATGAATAAATATAACTGCTCTTTTCAAAAGGCAAAATCTGACTTGCTGTCAAGGGTTGTGAAAAAGGTGGGGAAAATGGAATTTGTCTTCATAATTAGTATTTCTAGATCATCATATACAACCAGATTTTCTCATAAGCACCGGGTATGTTTAAATAGCACAGTACTAGTTTGGATACTGAAAGGAGCCGAGCTCCATGCACTTGTTTTCCTCCTCAGTAAGGTCAAGAGTCCCATGCTCTGAAACAAATACTATTTCCATGACCCAAGCAACTGTCTATATTTTCATATATTTCCACATTGTGCTGTGTACATATCTACCCAAAAATGTGAATGATTTCAACAAATGAAATTAATCTGAACTAAATGGACATCTGTCACAGGGTAATTCATCTCATCTTACATGAGACATCTTGAGATGTCTACAATGGTAACCCAAGGACACGGGGCTCAGCAGCCCCTGTCACCTTGGATCCTTCACAGCTGAACAGTCAGATTACTCAGCAGCCTGTATACCACTCCTCTCCAACTACAAATTGCTGCCATCAAGTATCATAGCTCTTCATCAGGGGACATCTCAGCTACTCATGAGCTGCGTGTTGTTCCAGAGCCATCAGCTGTCTGCACTGGCACTAAGAGAGAGGATCCTTCTCTGGCTACAGCCCTGCTCTGAGTTTCAGGACGAGAAACTGAATTCTTAGCCTTTGTGGTCTGAGGTGAAGTACCCCAGCAGTAGAATTCCCTGTTTCTCATTTCAGATGTATCAGGACATCCCAGACAGCCAGTGTGGGGCAGCTGACCTCGCATACAGTAGTATCAGAGGAATTCTTTTGGGTTTTAGTGCATGTGAGTTCACGAGAATTTGCATAAACACAGGCCACAACTCAGCCTGTCCTATACTGCCACAATCCACAAATGGGTTTTGATTTTTTTATCCTGTTTTTGTAACTCAAGAAAGCCCTGATTTTGTCTTTCCCATCTAGTCACAAATATTGACCAATCTTTTTGCCTCCTTCTGGGTCTGTTTAAAAGCAGGGTACGTAGGCCATGAGTGCCTGATCAATATTTACAGCCTGTGTGGTCTGTTTGTCACAGGATATGTAACCATGACCAGCTGACCAAATCCTTTAAGCATCATGGCCAATGGAAAATGCATAGACATATATTTTTTAATAGAATACAGTTACAAAGAAGTACAAAAAACTTTGGGGACTCAGCAAGAGTTTCAGCACATTGGCAGCTTTCTGAAAATTTGTTGTCTATTAGGATGAGATACGGTCTGCTATGCTTGCACATATTAGTAATATTTAAATCCACAAGGACATCCCATTGAAGACAACAATATTTAGCTGTAGTCAAAGAACTGAGGTGTAACTGAGTGTGAGGCTATAAATAACAAAGGAGGAAGGCTATCACATTTTTTCATTAAAATTTTTAGCAGCCAATTTAGTTCTGTGTACTCACATTTAAGAGTCCCAAATCACAAGGATTTGACCAGAAGTATACTCCATTGTCTTAAAATTAAACTTTTGACTCATATAAATTCTTAAATACATAAAAATTCTCAAGAAATAATTCTAATGTCTTTTTGAGAAAAAAGAATGGAAACCACAAAAAAAAAAAAAAAAGGAGAGGAAAAGAAGGCTACATTTGACCAAAGGAAGGCAAATATCTGGCTACAGAAGAATGCACTTTCAAAAATATTTTTTTCCCCTGTATCCGGGCTCATCTTTGTTAGCTCAATAAAAATTATAATAATGGGGTGTG